GCGAGTAGTTCCGCTCGGTTTCGTTGAGTGTCTGGGGAAAGTATGCCACCGGTACCTCTCTTCCATCCGGGAGTTGGTGTCCCAGGACAGCGCCAATGCCATAGGGTGAGGCGTCGCATGCTAGCACCACCGGCAGCCTCTCGTCGAAGTGTGCCAAGACCGAGTTTGAGACAAGCAAGTCCTTGACTGCCTGGAATGCGGCCTCCTGACGTTGGCCCCACACCCAAGGGGCCCGCTTGTCCAGGAGTCTGTGTAGGGGCTCCGCTACCGCCGCCTTGTGGGGAAGGAAGGAATGGTAAAAGTTCAATAGTCCCAAGAAGGCCTGAAGTTCAGTCTTGTTCTTGGGCGCTGGGGCATCACAAATGGCCCGTACCTTGTCCCCAGTCGGGTGGACCCCTTCTGCGTCCACCATAAATCCCAGAAAGTCCACCTGAGGCACTCCTAGTAGACATTTTTCCCGCTTCACCTTGAGACCCGCCGTCTGGAAACGGTGCGGAGGCGGTCCTCAAACTCCTCTGGTGTGGGCCCGGCAATCAACACATCATCGAAGAAGGGGGTGACACCAGGAATCCCTTTAAGGAGAGAGTCCATTAGATTCTGGAATATGCCTGGTGCCACGCTGACCCCGAATTGCAGCCGCTTTACCCTGAACGCTCCTCTGTGCGTCACAATCGTCTGTGCCTCTGCTGTAGCCTCATCTACTGGCAGCTGTTGATATGCTTGGGCCAAGTCCAGCTTGCCAAAAATTTTCGACCCAGCCAGGGTGGCAAGGACATGGCTGACCACTGGCACTGGGTATGCATGGGCCGTGAGGGCCTTGTTTATGGTACATTTGTAGTCTGCGCAGATGCGGACCGAACCATTAGGCTTGACGGGTGTGACGATTGGGGTTTCCCAGGGGGCATTAGGCACCGGCTCCAGCACTCCTTGCTCCACGAGTCGGTCCAATTCCTCATCTATACGGGGTTTCAGGGCGAACGGGACCCGGCGGGCCTTGAGCCTGACCGGTCGTACTGCGGGGTCAAGCTGTAGAGCAATGGGGGGCCCCGTATACTGTCCCAATTTCCCATCGAAAACCCCCGGAAATTCCTTGCATATGGCGTCCACGTCCACTTGTAAGCTCATGTGGTTCACCCCGGTGATGGCTAGCCCCAGTGGTCCAAACCATGCCAATCCCAGTAAGCTAATGTAGGGGCCCTTGACCACAAGCAAGTCCAGTTGCCGCGTCCGCCCTCGGTATTGCACCCTGAAGGTCCCCACCCCCATTGTGGGGACCTTACGTTTCTGGAAGTCCCGGAGGGTGAATGGGGCTGGCCTGAGTTTGGGACCCCCAGTAGGACACAGTTTCCTTAAGGTCCTTGCCGAGATTATGGATAGAGTTGAACCCGTGTCAAGCTCCATGCGGCATGGGGCCCCCTCTATCTGTACCTCTACATAAATTTTCTCTACGTTGGGGTGGGGCAACTGGTATACCTGGAAGTCCGTGAGCTCCGTTGAGTTGCCTTGGTGCGTTGGGCCCCGGGACCTGGGGCTCTTGGATTGGTCATCTGATGCCTGGCGTCGGGTGGGCCGAGCCCGACACACCCGGGCGATGTGTCCCAATTTTCTGCACTGCCTGCACTCTGCGTTGCGGAAACGGCAGGTCCTCCTCTCGTGACTTTCTCCACAGCTTGCGCAGTTCCCTCCTTCTCGTCAAGGCAGCTGTGGTATGTGGGCTGCTTGAGTGCGCTGCTGTACTCTGTGCACCTCCTCCCTGTCGGATCCTGAGTCGTCGGTGAGGTCTTCGTGGTGGACCCTCGGTTGGGACGGCTGGCTCGGCCGTGCCTCTTGCGTTGACCTCTCGGCAGCTTCCGTTGCCAGGGCCTCCTCCAGAGCGACTGGAACGTTAGGTTCTTCTTAGCGTAGAGGCGTCGTTGCAGCTTCTCATCCTTCAGGCCACCAACGAGGCGGTCACGAAGCATGTTCTCCAGCTCTGAGAAGTTGCAGAACCGGGCAGCTTGGCGGAGAGAGGTCACAAACCCAGTTATGGTTTCCCCAGGGGCTTGCCGCTTTGCGTAGAAGGCATTTCGACAAGCCACCACTGAGGGCTGTGGCGAAAAGTGCCCCTTCAGCTGTTCCATTATTGTTTTGTATGGAACAGTAGCGACGTCTTCAGGTGCAAGGAGAGCCCGGGCGATTTCAAACGTCTCCTCTCCGCAGACACTGAAGAATATTGCCCTCTTCTTGGCGTCTTCTGCATCAGTGACCCCTTTGGCTTCTAGGAGGAAGGTGAAACGGGAGGCGTACGCTTCCCAGTCTCCAGATGCTGGGTTGAACGGCGAGAAGCTGCTGTCGGTTGCCATTCTGAGTTCCTTGTGTCCCGGAGCTGAAGCCTGGATACACGGTGCGAGGCAGCGGTGCGGCAGGTGGCGGTGCTGCGGTGCTGTGTGTGGCAGTCAGCTCAGCGGGATCCCACCTTCGTCGCCAGTGAAATATACTCAGAGTCGCAAAGTGCTCTTTATTCAGCTCATAGTGGTGAGGAGGAATGAATGAATGTCTGAGGGGTCTGCTTTATATACATTATTTACACAATGGGCTGCACATGATTGGCTAATTCTGGAATTCTACTGTAAGCCAATCAGGTTGTGGATTCACTTCTATCTGGAGCATGATTGGGTGGTTCCTGCCAACCAATCATACTGCTGCATTGTTCTAAGACCAATCAGACTGCTGCATTCTGAATCCTATTGTTCTAGGACCAATCAGACTGCTGCCTTTTGGATCCTATTGTTCTAGGACCAATCAGACTGCTGCAGTTTGGATCCTATTCAATTCAGTACATAACAAACTCCAACTTCTATCTGCCCCGACAATGATGACCAATGACCAAGGATAATGGGATATGTAGTCCAGGGGCACAAGTTTCCCATCCCTGCTCTAGAGAACAGGATTTCTTTGATTCCAACATGTGAGAACTCAGAGGCAAAGGAAGTTTACTAAAGGACTTGTTGGAAGTTTTAGCAAGTTAGACTGTTGGACCGTCTAGCTCCAAAGTGTCTACAGCAGAGGTGGGCAACCTTAAGCCCGGAGGACAACTGTGGACCTTCAGGCCTTTATATATGGTCCTCGGAAGTCTCCCTATACATCACACCTCTCACTGGCCCAGCCCTGAATGTGTCTTGGCTGTAATGTGCCTGTCAGCTCTGATATCAGAACTAGCCCCATTAGCTAAAGTGGTGCTTCAGGTTAAGAACAGTTTCAGGTTAAGTACGGACCTCCGGAACGAATTAAGTACTTAACCTGAGGTACCACTGTAGTTTGGATTCCTCAGATGCAAGAAAGCACTTTGCTTGCTTGACTGCACAAGTCTTTGCTGAGTTCAAATGCAAGGATCCAGCATTTTCACAGAGTAGGCTGGTTCTAGAAGACTTCCTTTCCAGATTACTTGTGCAAGTGCAAATCATGAACTGTAGGAATGCCTTGGCAGCTAACAGCAGCTTCTCCCCTTGAAATGTGCACTTTGCAAATGGTAACAAACTTCTGACAGCAAAGTGCTTGCACTGGTCTAAAGTATATGTTAAAGGCATTCTGATAATAAGGAAATTTCCATTGTATTGTGCAGGGAAAATGTGCAGAGGTCAGTGAAGAATGTCATGCCAGGTTTTAAAAATATACAGACATACCACAAGGGGGCATCAAGACCTCAGAGCTGAGAGCTTTTCCAGCAAACTGGACTTGGTTTCATTTTGAGGCACAGGGACATCACAGCTTCTCCATGGAACACGATGGGCTTGTGCTATAGCTTTGTTCAAGCCGAAACCAGGGGGGGAATCCCACTTTCTACATTTCATACAGTAAACAAGTTTTGACCAACGATGGCATTAGTAACGGTTAACTTACAGTTGCGGGTTGTTTCACATTTTTACATGCACAGTACATTGAAGGCTGGCTGTTGTATTTAAAATATAAATTGTAAATGAGATAAATAGGCGTTAGCATGTATCCTATACGTGGATATATTGGGCTGGCAACCAGGATTAGCTGAATAGCAGGTATACATACCTGGTTGGTGGCTATGTCATGTGTGAAAGAGCAAGGTGACACTAGTGCAACATGGTCCTATTGGTGCCACTTACACTGGTGCTACTACTCTTGTGCCGGGGTACCCTGAGCCCGTCTAGCCATAGAAGCAGTGCCGGATTTAGGTATCAGCTAAACAAGCTATAGCTTAGGGCCCCACTCTCTTGGGGGCCCCAAAAAATTTAAAGGGAAAAAACCACCTGGATGTACATTTCCAAAATATAAGATAAAAAAATAAAATTAAATCTACATACAGTTGGAGCTTAATAATTATTTCACTATTAATATTCTTCTTCTTAACTGTATTTCACTATTAACGAAGCTGAGGCTCCAATACTTTGGCCACCTCATGAGAAGAGAAGACTCCCTGGAAAAGACCCTGATGTTGGGAAAGATTGAGGGCACAAGGAGAAGGGGATGACAGAGGACGAGATGGTTGGACAGTGTTCTTGAAGCTACAAACATGAGTTTAACCAAACTGCGGGGCGCAGTGGAAGACAGGAGTGCCTGGCGTGCTCTGGTCCATGGGGTCACGAAGAGTCGGACACGACTAAACAACTAAGCAACAAAGTAATATACTTCTTCTTAATTGTATTTCATTCAACAATTACTTTGATAAAATACATATTTTGTTATGTGCAAATGGCTTTAGATACCTATTAATTCCATAAATTACCATATAGCATATGTTCAACACAAAAAACAGTGACAATTTGTTGTTGACAAAGGACTGCTGGACATATAAAGGGCCCCATTACCTTCAGTAGCTTAGGGCCTCATCAAACCTAAATCTGGCCCTCAATGAATTTGCCCAAACCTTTTTTAAAACCATTCAAAAAACAAATTGTGCCCTCGAGGAGCATTTATTTATTTATAGTCAAGCAGTGTATACTTTTTAATGAAATAAATACAATAAATACCACAAAATATATAAATGTGCCTCAAGAAAAAATCACAACCATATTTTTAAACATACAAAAGTTAAAAATACTAAAAGAGATTTAAAAGCATGTAACAATGCATCTTGTTTCCCAGGATGGAGAGGTGTGTGGATAGAAACGTCTTGACTTTTGCCTGGCTGGACTGTAGCCTACTGTACAAAGGAAGGTGTCACTTCTGTTGCTCCACCCACTTTTGCCTCTGGACCTGCCCACCACTGGCGTGTGTCTCCTCCCATTCGTTCACCCTGGAAGGGAAGGTTACCCATGAGGCAATGCGGCTTTCACACTGAAAAAGTTTGGAGCACATTATAATATATATGCAAAGCACTGGATAGTAAACATTTAAAGTTTGCTTTTGTTTGAACACCTAGTTTCCCACCCCACCTGCCAATCCTGGTCTTTTGAACTTGCTGTCCCAAGAATCAGTGCAGGAAGATTATGAGGCAAATGTCAACCAAACTAGTCCCTTCCAACTATACAATTCTATGTTTCTAGGAAGCTAAATGGCCATGGGTTGCCCATCCCTAACCAGGTCGGAATGTGATATTGTATTTAAGGTTCATGAAACTAGGGATGAAAGGATCTGCCCTTTTCAATCCTCTCCATTTCACATTTATCGACTCTTAAATTCAGCTCTCCGTATTTCTGCTGTAATTTGCTTTTTTTAAAAAAAAAAACTTTTTAAAATTCTTCAGCATCTTAGTGTGAATTTCTCCTAACACTTTTTTGTTTGTAGTTTTAAATAATAAGCAGATTTTTCTTGCAATTTCTCCTAATACATATAATGCATTTTGCATGTTGTTTTCACTAGCGTATGCATTTTATGCATATTTTCACCTATATATGAACTTTCGTAAACATCGTTTGGTTCAAGAATTGCATCACAAAATTCAGAAAAGTGTGCAATTTCGAAGGATGACCATGTTTTAAATCTCAGATTGTTTCAGAAATATGAATAGGTGATAAACTCAGTCTTGTGTAATGTGAGGCCCTGCTCTGTGCCCCCTCTCCCTGAGAAGTTTGGACAGTGACAACAGCATGAGAATTTTCTGTTGTGGTTCCCCATATATGGAATGCTTTCCCCAAAGAGGCTAGTCATTAAGTAATCTATGGCATGTTAAAAATGGGGGGTCTGTTATTATTTTTGATTATTATGTTATTACTATTCTTTATTTTATGTTTTTATTATTATGTTCCATAAAATACGTTTTTAATGTTGAACACCTCCCTGAGATCTTTTGATAAAGGGCAAAACAAACAAACAAACTGAACATCTCCCCCACCGTTGCATGAGATACAAAATGGAAACTCTGTCTAGGTATCCTCACCATCCAAAACAATGGCTTTTTGTGTATCAAGTTGCTAAGCCCATGATATGCATGCATTTGAGTGTTACACCAGAAGTGATCTCATTTCAGTCCAGACAATTGAATTAAATCCATATAATCTGCTCCTCAGTATTTACGCTTCAGGAAGCAAAAACATTCCTGAACTGGCTCTGTGCTAAATTATTTCCTGCCTGGTTTGAGCCATCTTTTCTGTGATTCATGGAACAATTACCGCAAAATGGAAAAAAAAAAATTCAGGTTTGGGACTGATAAGCAAAAGAACCATATGCTAATTGGTCCAAAAACAAAAGAAAATGAAAACTGAAACAAAAGAAAAATGGGTTCTTGTAGTTCTTGTAGTGTGAGTCAGCTAACTTTGAAGTGAATCCTACAACATTGAATGGGGCTTATCCCAAATTAAGTATGGATAGGGAAACCACCTTCGGCTAATTATGCTAGTCTCTTGGACAGAGATAATTTAGATAATTACTTTAGGTTACAATCCTACACCAATTTACTTGGGAGTAAACCTCATTGAACTCAATCAGACTTTATTTATGGGCTACACAGTGAGTGAATTAATCAGCCCAATGACTGGAAGTATTATGATGTGTTTTAAGTGTTATCTCAATTAACTGGTCAGCAGATTTTTTAAAAACACATGTGCTTTTAAAAATGGCACCATCTTAAGAGGCATCCTGCCCCCATAGAAAGAGGCAACTGGGCTCTTGCCACATTCCAGGGTCAAGGGGGGTGAGTGAATGAGCAGTAAAATGGCAAATGCAATTCAACGAAAAGAAGTGTAAAGTTGGGGCAAAAATCCCTTAATTTCACATATGCACTCATGGGGTTTGAACTGGCAGCGTCTGATCAAACAGGAGTGGGCAACTGGATCTGGCCAGGTTTGGCACCCACCTGTCAGCCATCTGATATCACAATGACACCAGGTGACCTTTTATATCCCTGAGGATAACATACCCAAAATTCAGTACATTGCAGAAAATGGCTGCTCTGGCTAGAGCTGATGGAAGTTACAGACTAAAACATCTGGAGGACACCGGGTTGGTGAAAGCTGTCCTAAGCGTTTAGCCAGCACTAAGCAAGCAGTTGAATGGGAAGTTCAGTGTCCACAAACAGAACTAGCTGTACTCTCGATGGCCTTTCCAAGGGCCGAATGAAGAGTCACCTGCAGTAAAGAGTCTATGGCCTTTATGCAAAACGTGGCTGCAGCCATTACATCAGGCTGTATCATGGGAAGGAAGACCCAGAGCCTCTCCATCAACACAGCTGAGAGGCCAACAACTTTTGCTTGCATTGGAGGACATTGAACTAAATGACCCTTTGGGATCCCTCCCAACTCCACAAAGTCTGATTCTCCTTGATTTCCCCCCATCCCAGCGGACTATTATAACAACTTGTAGCTAAGAGCTTGAACCTAATTTTGCTTATTTCCTCCTCCTTCCCACTCCATTTTCCTTTTGAGTCCTTTTATTTTTAGATTGCAAACCTGAGGGCACGGACTGTCTGTTTTAGTTATTTGTAAGCTGCTCTGGGAACCTTTCTTTTTTTGGCTAAAGAGTGGGATTAAAAAATTCTGCACAGAAATAAAGTAAAAATAGAATTTCCTCTGCGTGGGAGACACAGCAATTTGCTTAGCGCTCAATACACATGATTTTCGCATATTTCACAGGGGAGGTGTGGCTGTGGGTACTTGAGTGCTGTTCACCCTCAATTGTGAAGATGGAGTCATACTTTTGAGATGTGAGCTCCTCTTCTCTGGTGAGATTCTCCCATTGTTTACCTGAAAGGGGCAACTTCTCCATGCAGCCCCACCTGCTGCAGTGGAATTGAGGTGGGTGTTTGTGCCAGAAGTCCTGAAGCAGGTTACCTGTGCGTACTCTGAGAACAAAAGAGATACCCATTTGCCCATCTGCTGCTAGCCTTGGCTGTTGGCTGATTGTGCAAAGTGTTCCCTTTGGACAAAGTGCGTTTTTATCAAGTTCTCCTTCAGCAAAGTCCACATGTGTGTCCAGGTTTACAAATACCGGGACAAAGTGATGTTGCCCTGTGTTGTGTGTGTTGTTGTATGAGCTTTGTTCTTTGGCTAGAGCTTATATGTCCCTATTGGTGTGCCATGATTGGCTCTCTAGTCAGAATCCTATCTTCTGATCTGGCTGTGGGACAGAGGAAGCGAAGGGCAGTCAACTGGGATTTCCCATCCACTACAATGGAACTGTTTTTACTTAGTCATAAGAAGATGAGGGGCCATTGGTCTGGCCCAGCTGGCTCTTTAGTCCAGCATCCTGTTTTCACAGTGGCCAACTAGATGCCTGTGGAGAAACCTACAAATACCACCCAGGAACAACAAAAACAATAATAATTTATTATTTATTTAATAATAATAATTTATTATTTATTATTTATACAGCATTCTCCCTTCCTGTGATTTCTGGCAACTGGGATGCAAAAACATTACTGACTCTGGCTGTGGAGGCACAGCATAGTCATCATGGCTGGTAGCCATTGATAGCCTTTTCATCCATGAATTTGTCCAATCCTCTGTTAAAGCCATCCAAGTTGGTGGCCATCACTGCCTCCTGTGGGAGAGAGCTCCACAGTTTAACTATGTGCTGCATGAAGTCTCTTTTTTTCCTGGCACTGGGGACAGGACTGACCTCCAATCTTCTACAGGAATCCACACCGTAACATTTCCAGTCCTCTTCATCCTCCTCTATACTCCCAACTCCACCCAGTTTTGCCCCTTGCACTGGTGCTGATCTACTGTCATAGGAGTTATGCTGGCACAACAGTATCAATACACTACTGTAAATCCACTATGTAATGTTTTGTTCCTCTGACACAAAGATATTTGAGATCCTATCCCTGTCCAGTTGGCATAATACAGGGATATCCGATAACCAGTAAATCACTAACAAAACTATAAAGGAATTAGGGTTGCCATATTTTTGAAGAGGAAAAAAAGAGGGCACATTTGCCAACTTCTACTTTTAACTATGGATCACTATGATGAATCTACCCATGAAAAAGAGGATGTGTCCTGCAAAAAGAGGACATATGACAAACCTACACAGAATTCTGTTGTTTCTTTGGGAGATTCTTTGCTTGCTGGTATCATGGATAAGGAACAGTCTTTCCCACCCCCACCCCCTTAAATAAGGTTTGGATTTTCCTTTGGAAAATTCCCCAGTTAAGTTTTGCCTCCTGGCAGAGTTTCAGCATGTGGTCTCCATTTTAGCTTACGGTCTCCAGACCTCTCACTGTCATAAGTTGCACTGCACTGGTGTGTGTGTGTGTGTGTGTGTGTGTGTGTAGATAGATAGATAGATATAGATATATACACACACACATACACACACACCTCCCCATCCGTCCTGCCTCCCCCCCCCCCTCGGTTTTATTTGTGCTAGGCAAACTCTGGTTCTGTAGCAGGTTGCAGATCCCTATGTGCCCCTCACCCAACTTGAAGCTCTCCCAAAGTCCTCCTATTCTTAACTACTAACAACACACTGAGCAGAAAAAAGTGACAAGCAGTTTAAAGTAGGATTTTCTGGGGGAGGAGGTGTTCCCCTCCCCATGATGCAGCCACTGCCAGCACCTTCATCAGTTCCTGTTGCAGCACCTTCCTCCAACATAACACCAAGGCAGCTTTTTAGCTGCAAGCAACATGAATTAATCTCTGCAAACAATACTGAAACATCAGCAGAATGAACCAGGGACTAGTAGGAGAAAATGTATTACTAATACATCCTGCAGCTCTTTTAGGCATCAGAGTGTTATGCAACCTCTCTCTCATTTACCTACACAGCAGCCATGCTATAAATTGAGTCATTAATACTGCAATCTTGTGCACATTTTCTTGGCAGAAAATCCCCCTGGACTTTGGAGGGCTTACTTCTTAGTAAGAATAGGCAGGATTGGCCTGTACAGTAACGAGCTGGGATTACAGGTAAGACCTCTCCCTTACAGCAGGTGCTTCTAATCTCAGCTCCTTACATACAGTGAAGATACCAGGTAGCCTGACATCTGGCTGGTTGATAGGGGAAATCAACCTGTCTTCTCTAACAAAAAGACTGGGGTTTTCCTTACAACCAAGGAATTGTAACTTTTCTGATTTATACATGCCTTGTCCTTTGCAGAATGCACAGTCTGAAGACAAATATCACATAGGGCTTAGAAATGGGGGAAGATCAAGGGACCGGGAGACCACTAGGACCTGGATAACTTACACAGGGACCCTGTGCTGATGTGGAAGACCGTTCCAAATGCTGGTTCAAAATAAGAAGGCCTAACCTACCTCACAGGGTTGTTGCGAGGATAAAAATGGAGACCCAAGTACACCACCTTGAGCTCCTCGGAAGAAAGGTAGAGTATCAATGTAATAATGATGGCACCCCCCACCTTGTAGTGCAATAGGAGACCACAGTGGATGCTTAAGCTTCCTCTCTGGGCATGAATCATGTCCATTGTGCATCCAACCTTCCTGGGTTTCTCAAACCAGCGAGAGAATGTGCACTTTGGAGGTACTTCTGCACAGTCATCTCCTTTGCCAGATGATGAGGGCATCCGTTCTTACAAGAAATCACAAACAGTATTTTGCATGTTAGCTAAACCATTTATTTTTCATTCTGGCAGCTCAATTATGTGGAAATAAGCTCTAATTAAGCTAATTGAGCTTTACTTCCAAATAAATTAGTTTCAAATTGGGAGGTGCCAGTGGTTTTTTTTTGCCAAGCTTGTTATGTATTGCAGCACAATCCTATTTGTTACTTGTAAGTAAGTCCCATTGAGCTCAATAGGGCTTACTTCCAAGTAAGTACACATAGAATGAAACCATGCAGGGTGACTTACCGGTAAGTCTAATTAAGTTTAACGGAATTACCAAGTCTGGTTTGGTGCAGCCATGAAGTACAACCAAATGCATGTCTGCTGGAAAGTAAGCCCCACCGAGTTCACTGAGACTTACTCCCAAGTAAACACATGTAAAACTGCAGTCCTTTTCAGGGATTGTTACTCAGGGATTGATCTGCCCACCTTCATGTCTTTGTATGGCATGTAAACATGTGCATATTAAATATCAGGTGGCTCACAGGTTACACATTAAAACTCATTCATTCAAATACAATTAGGCAGCTTACAAACATTTTTATTCCAAGCTAAGTTCAATTGGGTTGATTCCATGGTATGCAAGCACATGGCTGCAGTAGCACTGCAATCTTAACCATATTTATTGGAAATCACGACCCATTGTTCAGTGGGGCTTCAGAGTACACATATTTAGAATCGGGCTGTAAGGGCATATCCTCACTTCCAACTTAAAGTGGTTCAACAGTCTTGTCAGCTTCCCAGAGGACCCTGAGAATTGTTGATTTGAGGCTTTGGGTGTCCGACAGAATTCTGAGCATCTCATAAAAATAAAATTCCCACATTAGGCTAAGACAAATGAAGGCTGCCAGGATAAATATTTCAGATATTCTGAACTTACTGATGAAGGTCTCATTCATTTCCAGGTTTATCATTTTTTCCTTTGAGTCTGTGCTCCTCCAGATGGCGTTGGACTCCAACTTCCATCAGCCCTGGTCAGAATGGATAGGGGTGACAGGCCCAGCAACGTCTGATTTGTAGACTGACCTTCTAAATTGAAGGCCGTTAGCTGGGGCAAGACAGCTGCTGTTTTATTAATAAAGCAAGAAAGGACGTTAGATAAGTATGCAAAACTCTGTAATAAGATTGCTAACATGAAAGGCAGGCCTTTTTATTATTGTTGTTGTTTTAAAGTGAGGGGCAATTGCATAACAGGGAGATGAGAAGGCTACAGCTATCTCCCCTCAAACCCGGAGCACATGCAGAAGATCAACATATTTCCCTTCAAGTGAGAACCTAGAGAAGGTGATCTCTTTACTCGCCCTCCCACTAAGCTGCCACAGCTGGAAATGCATCCTGCGAGAGGAAGAGCATCCACCATAGCTAATAAGGCAGCAGGAACTGTAGTCTGTGTCAGTATGAGAAAAAGAAGGAATGCTGTTGTTGGTGTGTTTGTCAGGAAGCAGGGAGGGAGCGAGCAGCAGGGCTGCCAAGTGTCTGCTAGGGAGCCACAGGCAACCAGAGCCTGATCTCTCCACCAGAATAGTACAATTTCGCCATAGCACGCCTGTATAGTTTCCCATCTGAAGCTCTCAACCAACGCTAGAACACACACATACATAGCTGATTATAAATACTGTAGCTCTGGCCTTGCTTACACTTCCATTTGAGACTTTATTTGTATTGTTCTCATTAGCTCTTCATTGTCTTATAAAAGGGAATTAGGCGATTTCGTGGAGGAAGATAGATCAGTTCCAGACCCTCCAAGTGTTCCTGTTTTCCAGGGACAGTCCCAGATTGACAGAAGCCGTCCCAGTTTCTGATTTGATCCTGGGATGTCCCACTTTTCCTTAAGATGTATCTATTTTGGCTGGGTCGGGCTGATATTGGATTGGGGGGGCAACTCCCATCTCTTGCAGGGGCGCAATTAGTGCCAGCACCGTCCGTTAAGAGTTTGCGTGTAACTTTCAACACCTCCCTTTCCATGGAGACGCAAATTGCAGCTATAACAAAAGCGGCATTTTTTCATCTCTGCCAAGCTAAGCAGTTGGCTCCTTACCTCTCTCGCCCTGACCTAGCCACTGTGATCCACGCGACGGTCACCTCCAGGTTGGATTATTGTAACTCACTCTGCGTAGGGCTGTCTTGAGACTGACCCAGAAACTCCAGTGGGTACAAAATGCCACGGCGAGACTCCTTATGGGGTCCTCGCTGCAGGATCACATTCACCCAGTGCTATACCAGCTACACTGGCTCCTGATGGAGTACAGGATCAGGTTTAAGGTGCTGGTTTTAACCTTTAAAGCCCTATACAGCCTAGGACCCTCGTACCTACGGGACCGCCTCTCCTGGTATGTCCCATGGAGGACCTTACGGTCTTCAAACAAAAACATATTGGAGGTCCCAGGCCACAGGGAGGTTAGGCTGGCCTCAACCAGAGCCAGGGCTTTTTGGCTGTGGCTCCGATCTGGTGGAACGCTCTGTCACAAGAGACTAGGGCCCTGCAGGACTGCAGGACATCTTTCCGCAGGGCCTGCAAGACAGAGCTGTTCCACCAGGCCTTTGGCCAAGGCACAGCCTGACCCCCCTCCTTTGGTAATCCTCACAGAACTCTAGCCCAATGGTTGCCATTAATTTGATTTGAACTGAATTTATAATGAATTGATTTTAGAATGCTGTATTATTTTACTGTTTTTAGGAGGGCGGGATATCAATAAATAAATAAATAAATAATTTTCAGCGGAGAAATTTTGGAGGGTATGGAGTTATGCGACCCCGGAGATAAGT